CCCCAAAACCCCAAAACCCCAAAACCCCTAGAGTTAAAATTAAGATAGTTTGAGAATAAATATTTAAGGAATTAGAATATCTTTTACAGATAAGTGAATTGAGTCAATGATTAATTACTCAGTCTCAGCTTAAAGTGAAGTTATTTGTACCTTCATTATAAGCAAACTCAAATCTCTCCTTCAGCTTTTCATAGGAGCTGTAGCTTGGAAGCTTGATATAATTTTAGCAGGTCATCACTGATGGTAAGATATCATCTGGATTTTCCTTTGGATTCAAAGGTCTTTTTAAGACAACTGTTAACTTAGGGTCAAGTGATGAAAATCCACCATTTGGTAATCTTGGGCTCCCTGTAACAAACTTGAGGAATTTTCTTCTCTCATCATGGCTGAGCTCACTAATGAATCGAATCAGAGAGAGATACTCTGTTGACTTTGAATGATACCCATGAGCTGGAATTACGTTCTCCAATAACTTTTATGTGTTTATCCAATCCTCGTCATTTCTTTGTACCCCACATATCATATCTTCAAGTTCCAAGTTACTCGAGAATGGTTTTAATGTATCGATTGGGAATACTGAGTTAAAACCTTTCTTAAAAGATTAAATCTAAACTTTAACAGTCTCATGGAACATGAAATGAAGTACAAGATCTACATACTCCTATAAATTATTTAGATTGACATCTGTTTATCTTCCATTCTACTTTAGTTCTATATTATCATATCCTGGAACAGTGAAAGTCAAGCCTAAATCTTCTATTCTAGCACCTTACTACAAATATTAGGAGTTTAAATATCTTACAGATGTTCTTAGAGTATTAAGTTATCTATTCTTTGATTCTTGATCTATGAATACTTATTTGTCCATATCTCTCTTTTTATTAGCAAGCATTTGGAGTTCAGCAAATATCTTAAATAAGTCTTTATCGATTCTCTCTAGATCAAATATGTTCATTTTCTAAAATCACGATTAATAATGATTTATATTTACCTTTCCAAGTAGCAAATCCCAGTATAATGAAGAAATTGGTAGATCAATTAATCTGTCATCACTGATACTTTTTGCTAGCATAATACCAATCATTCTGAATATTTCATAAATTTTTTGCAATTCTTCAGTTTTCATTGTATGAACGCTAAGAGGTGAGGGGTATAAACTGTTATCCTCCATACCTTTCCTCCAAATACTCTATCTTTAACCACCTATAGTAGCTTCAGCTAGCTTTATCTCATTTGCAAGTAAACAATAAAACTCTAAAGTTGGTCCAAGTCCAGTACCAGCCTCTTCTTTATATTGAATTTCTAAGAATGCTCTTTTCTATATCTGCTTTACTAGGCTGAAAGCTGATTCAATGATCTTGGTTCTATCTACTATGACTTTTTACTTTTAGAATTTAACAGCTGTATTCTTGTCCTCAGGTGGTAATTTTCCTAGTTTATTCTTTAGGAACTATCTCAAGAAGTAAATACTTCTATTCATATCAATAGATCCAATAAATGAAATTAGCTTGAAGAACAGTTATCTAGTCTAGAATGGGAATAAGAAAGGACAGTTTCTGAAAATTTATTATAGTGTTTCACTAATTCCTCCTCCTATGAGATTATAAGGGTCTTAAATATTCTTAAGAATGTACGAGTCTAATTTATGGTGATGGAATAAGTTAGCATTAAGTTGAGTCACACCAATCTAAAGATTCAAGTCTGTGAACATTTCATCTTTTTATTCCTCGTCATCGTAAGAATTTATTATAAACTTGATTCCCTGGTTTGACAGTAACTGAATATTTCTGCAAACGAAATTCAATACTTTGAGAATCTTCAGAGCTTACTCAAGCTGTATAATCTCTTGCTACCTCTCTTTATTATTTAATTGTATTTATTGATCTTTTGAAAACACTTGGAATTCTTTATCAATAAGCTATTGTACGATTGAGTTTACTGCAGAAACAGATATATCATTAACAGCTTCACTTTTAGTTCTATCTCGTCTTTGAGCGAAATCCAATAGGGAATCTTTCCTCTGCATTTGGAGTTCATCTTTTTTATCTTTAATTAAGAAGTAAATGTTTCCAGTTTCTTTTTATGAATAGTTTCCAAATGAATGAGAAGCAAAAGCATCAATTGTAGATTGCTTGAGTTATCTCTACTCTGCTGTTTTAAGAATTTCAAAGATTGTTTAGCTCTAGCTGACTAATTAACCTTGATAGTAAAACTCAAATTCGATATCATCCCCTGTTGCTTTTATTAAGTCATCCAAATCCATATTAATTGTCTCTTTTAGTTTTTCTGAACCCTCGTCCTAGATTGATAACTCTACTTCCCTTTAAACCCTTGACTCTTATTGCTGTTATCTTGACCTTTCTAATTATTCCAAAATCTTTTTCTATTCATCTTCTTCCTCATCAGTCATCTCAACATCCTCTCTCTTATTTTATTCTTATTGGGATTCAGTCTTTTTTTCTTCCTCTTATAGCAAAACAAGTTCGTGCTTTTCTTATAATTTCTTAAGTTCCTCTTCTATCGTGTCAAAATCTTCTTACTTCATTTCACTATCGGCACTACCTCCTAATGCTGATTATTCTCCTTTTTCATTAATATTTGGTTATTTTTCAAGGACCAATTTCTAATCCTTTTTTTATTCCTATTTTACCTTATAGAATTGCTTGAGAAGTTCAGTCATTCTTTAAAATTCATACATTTTTTCACCAATATTATTGTCCTCTTCCTCCCCGCCATCAAGACCTTCATCCCTCATCATGTCATCATATTATGCCTCTTAATCTGCATAAAATTCATCCATCATCTGAAGAGTTGAATGCTCTAATAGTCTAATTGTCTCCACTTACTCTTATTCGGTAAGGTCTTTGTTCTCTATAATTTCGTCTGAGAGTCTATTCGCGAATTCCTCGCCATCTTATCTTAGTTTTTCTCTGCTTCCACCACTTTCCATTAAGTCTCTCATTCTATCTAAGGCTCTTTCAATGATTTATCTAATTTAAGAACTGCCTTACCCTGATCCTTTCTTGAGACCAGAATAGAAAGAAGCTGGAGTTTTTAGCGCCTTGACATCATCTAAATTTCTAATTTTGTTTCTGAGGAAATCCTCCAATAAATGCAGATTAGCACATTATTCTACTGATATGAGAACTTATTAAAGTTCTGTAAACAAGAAATTTCTCTTAACAAATACTTTTGAGAATTACTCTTCATAACATTTTGGTGCCCCACCTAATTACATAAAAGCTGGATGATGGCTGCTTGATTTTTACACTATGTTTTGTGGAGGCTCAATTAAACCTTAGCTATCTTTTGAAGAGGTGCGGGATTTTACAGTTTGTAGGAAAGACTTTTTAGGATCATATACAAGATTTACTCTTATTCTTTTAGTTAATTGTCTCAAGGCGTGAACAGATTAGTTTGGATCTTCGCCAGAATTTCCTAATCCAAAAACTCCTCCTGGAGGTGCTGTAGGGTTTTCATTAGCAAGTTGATTTTCAAAAATTTGGTATTCACTTTAAGATAAAAGCTCATGACATAAATTTACTAATTCTTAGATGGGTTTTTTGTCATTTATATTGCTCAACATAATATGTGCAAACACCTTCAATCGTTGAATGAAGCTCCTCGATTCTTTCTTACTAATACTTTATGAGTTTTTCGTCATTTGGCTCATCATCATTTCTTCTGAATGTTTCATCTCTTCCCCTAATTTATCCTTTTCCAGCTTTAATTAAGCCTGCTTAGGACTGTGAGTCAATAATAGGTCCAAGGCTTCCAATAAGCCAGATTCTTTGAATTCATAAGTCATGATATGTCTTTTGCTTGATAAGCATTCAGCTACTTACTTAATCAAACCTTTTATTTTTTCAAAGTTAAATACCTCTGATTTAGCCTCTTCAATAATGTCCTTAGACAAATTTTTCAGCATGTTTATAACTTTGAATTCCTCTCCATACCATTCATTAAGTTGCTCAGAGAATTCAGCATTGTCGAAATATTTAGTCATTAGTGGCTATGATAATGAAAGTATTTGCTTTGCTGAGTCTACTTGGATCTTATTTGGTTAGCTCAAAGTATTTTACTTGCTAGCCTCAAGATATTTTTGAATGGTTTATTCAAATTATAGTTATGCCTCCTTATCTTAAGTTTCAGATTTTTACAGAATAGCCATTCTCGCTTTAACCAGAAATTCCTCAGATTTTTCAAGAGTCGTAGTCTCTTTAGACTTCTCGTTCTCATTAATATCTATTTAAAATGTCTTTTCAATAGCTTCTTTAGTTGACAACTTTTTAATGATGTTAGTAACTCCCTCTCTCATCAAAGGTAAAGTATAGGTTTAAGGGTTACTCCTCATTAGTTTTTCTATCATTTGTAAGCAGATTTTAATTGAGACTACATTGTTGCCTCTCATATTGGAATAAATGAACTTAGCAAATGAATAGGGTTCAATGAAATTATTCAATAGCTCATCACTAAAGAGTGAGATCATTTTATCTATAATCTGAAGGGTCTTATTCCTGATTTGAATCTGGATATTATTTTCGTAAACATTGAAAATTCTTGGCAGGATTCGCTCAGCAATGAAAAGCACTTTTTGTTGTTCCTTAGTGATAAAAAACTCCTTCTTAAGTTATTCTTAAGCCAATCTCGCTTTCTCGTTTTCCCCTTGAAGGGCATCTTCTCTCTCTGGGAATAAAGCATCCAAAAGTTAGATAGTCTCCATTATGAAGGGAAATTTGTCTGAGTTAAAGTGAATCTTTTTCAAATCTTCTGATGAGGGCAAGAATACTTCAATAAGTCTGAAGATATCAAAACCAACTATCAACTTTGTGAGATTGAGTGAATATCTTGTGCTCAAGGTGAGTACTTTAAGGATGTACTAAATAGTCAGTGTACTTAATTTGCTACTCTCTGAAGATTATTAGATTAAACCTGAATCAACATTCATCATTTCGTCAGAGACACAGTATTCTTGTAATTTTTACAAAAGACCATCAATGATGCCTGTTTCTCCGATCTGTTCAAATTAAACTGAAAACCTCTCAAAATTAGTTAAGGGATTGATAAATCTCATCAAACTCTCACAAACTCTCTAAACTATATGAGAAACTATCTCAATCTTAGACTAGGCATGATCACCTCTTGAGTGTAAAAGCATACTTAAATATGGCAATAGGGGTAACACATGCTGACTCAAATCTTATTCAGATGCTGAGTGCCTGCTGACATTAAGAATGAGATTGAGAATTCGCTTTTGAGTTCCTATCTCGAAGAAGTCCATCATGTTTAGACATAAAGCAATAGTGCCACTTGTCAGAATTGCATAGGGATTCTCCATAGATATTTTCTCCAAACATTTTATACAAGCCTCGTTTAAGTCAATGAATCCCATGCACCTCTCAAGCAAATCTGCGATACAGTTGACAGTTCCATGATTGACAATATTTCCACACAAAGTAGGAAAGATATCCATAAGATTCGTAAGACATTAAATGACAAACACTAAAAAATGTGTAATTAAGTCTAAAATATATACTATTGCTCTCATTTGCTAAATCACTCTCCACTGGCTTCTTTAAAATCTCAATAAGCACTGGAATATATTGGTCTAAAGGGAAGGTTGTCAGGGTATTCTCTTGTGCGATGGAGAGTTAATTGCTCAAGTTTGTCATTGCCTCATAAATCAGCATATCATCATTAGTCTTTAGTTACTCCAAGATCTGCTTATAATCTGCAAAAGCTGGTGACCATCCATAATTATCAACACCAAGGTTGTACAATTGGTTCTAAGCTATTTATTATTAGAATTATTCTCTATAGAGTAAAGATTAATGGATGGAAGCTTCTTACAAATTATCGATTGAGTCGTTCTATTCCATTGATTGAGTGTGAATATCGCTCTGAAATATGATTAAAAATTATAACTTTAATAAAGTACTAATTTATTCTAATCAACCAATATTTCAATTTATTATTCTTCTGGGGTTTTGGGGTTTTGGGGGGATCGGAAGAGCGTCGTGTAG